ACATGACAAGGAGCAAATGAAATCCAAAGATGTAATTATTAATCAAATAATATAAAATATTATAGCACATCCAAATTAAAGTTGTTCACACAGGCAGACTGATGATGAAGATAAAAGCAAAGCAGAAATAAGAATCAATATTAGTGCAATATTTATAAAAAATGTACCTTTTTATGATGATTATAGGCATGATGAAGCCGTGTCCTATTGGTCTTGGAATCGGATATTCCAAGCTCCTGACACACCTCGCCCCAGAAAGTGTCTTTCTCGTCACCTTCATCGTTGTCTTTTGTTTTGGTTGTGGCTCGAAGCTTGTCAGTGACAGCCAAAAGGACTTCTTTTGTTATTGTTATTTTTCTTGTCTGAAATTGAAATGTCAAAGTTCCGTCATTTCTTTGTAAAAAAATATGACATTTGAGAAATCATTGAATTTTTTAATGCAATTACAATTGTGTGACAAATAAGAAACACTTGCCTTCCCAAACGTTGAGAAAACCAAGACTCTGAAAAGACATAAGTTAAAATCTATTATTTATAGTTAGACTTTTCACTCAGTTTAGACTTTTTTAATTAATTAGCTTGATTCCCTGACTTCTGATTTGTTGCCTATGCTATGTCGATTTGCGCTGAAAGGACAGAGGGATATATTCATAGGTGTCATTTAAGCGGGGGATGCTGGGTACATGTCCCCAGCACTTTTTAAAATGTTGTCCATACATTTTATAAAAGTATAACTTTATAACCTGTAATAAACAAGAACACTGTTTTTTTCTTATTTAAAAATAATAATAATAATACATGTACATCTTGAGAAAACAGTTTGTCCGTTGACAATTTCTATGGGGATTCTTAAATTTGGACATGTTCATACAATTTTAAAAGATAATGTATCACCCAGTCCCCCAGCAGGGTTTTTGTTTACAAACGTGTCATCTGTTAAACAACATGTGAGTTCAGTGTGTCGGGTGCCGCAGGAAGTAGGGGTGCTGGAGGAGCTGAATGGTGTACATTTGAAAAACTGAGCGACCACCTAAATAAAAATGATTAAACTACATATAATAGTTATGATTTGACTTAAAATAAAGTCAAATCAGAACTATAAACAATTCATATAAACATTTGTGTTTTATTTTCGAACACAATTATGTATATAACTACTTTTCTGTTGAAATACAAATATACGTACCCTCGACGAGCTTCCATTACAGATGAGGTCCATGGAAGCACTAATTGACAGGTATAGAGAACCGCAGTGACGCGTGGTAAAACCCGGAAGTAAACTTCTTCCGGTTCCTTCGTGAAAAACCAATGCAAATTCTCCATAGGATTTTGGAAAATAGCTCGAAATAAGGTCTGTGGTTGACACACATTTAAGAGAGGGATCACGTTTTGTTCAGCCGGATAATCTCCACATGTCTACCCTACTTTTATAATTTGAATCATAAATCTAGTCGCCAAAAGCGAAATGCTAACGTTATGCTATAAACGAACTACAAGCCAGTACAGCAGCAGGGTCGCACGACTTCAACGTCACGCCAACTTAAGATCGTTTCAACTGACTTGCACTGAAACTGCACTTTGAACACTTTAAATATATTAACATTTTAAACGGTATACCCCGGTTATCTAGGCCCTTTTTGTTTTGTTTAATTTATACCACGTTTATCTAGGCCCTTTTTGTTTTATGTATACATGTCACACTGTGGGAAACGATATTTCGATATTTCTGGATGTATAACACATGTATAATTTTTGCAATCATGTCTCCTAAAAATTACGTTCCCACAGAACTAAACTGCATTCTCAATTACGTTTAGCTAGAAACTGATTTACTCCCACGTTATGTTCGTTATGAACCTATTTAAAATACGTTTATTTTCTACATATCTTCTAGAAACGTATTTTCTCCCACGTTACGTTCGTTATGAACGTATCTTAAATACGTTTATTTTCTACATATATTTGCCATTTATTGTCTTGCTTATAATAATGATAATAGTCATTTATAAATATCATTTTAGAGCACACCTTTGAAATCGACAATCGGGCTCGATATATGGTTACATTAAAATCAGTAGGCGAGGCTGTAATTTCGCCAGCTGTTACACTCATGAGCGAGGCAGAAAATAATAGTTTTAACATGACAAAAAGCTGCTGTGTCATTTATTGCACCTCAAACATTAAAACAAATCTAGAGTTACGTGTTTCTGTACTTCCTCTAAGAAGAAAAGACAGTAAAAGAAGAGCTCTGTGGCTTCAGGCTTGATCGCCGTTCAAATGACAGCGTTGGTTTCCCCAAAAGTGGGCGGGGCTGTAAAGTGACGTAGATTTTACTATCATCTATTATTCAAAACCATTCTATTTATTCTAACGTAAATTGCATGCCAGTCTTTTATCTTTTTATTTATTTGTTTTTATTTTAAATCGTATAATGTCGGACTTTTTTTGTCGTCTGTGAGGAAAATAAATGGGGTTTAGAGCCTCAAAATACTGAAATCTGTATTTTTTTTATCTTTTCCTTCTAATTTGTTATTCTTTTCTAAATAACACACTGTTATTTACTCAACAATAACACACAATTATCCTTGTTTTTATTTATTCGTTTAATTCTATAATCTTGGGCATTTTAGCATGCTTTTTAGCCGTAAATAAAGTCACCAGAAACAGACGGGACATTTCGAGATTTAGGATGGCCAAAGATACTACACTACCCATAATCCCCAGCTATCATTTGGGACTACAGTCCCGTTGACAAACCCTGTGATGTTGGAGTGGCAGTGCGCCAAGGTTACGCCGAGCGTCAAGCTCTTTGAAATGGAACGAAACCACGGCAGACTATTCAAAACTGGACTCGAACGCCCCCCGAGAAATACACATGCTGGCTATTGTGTTTCGCAACATGTTCTCTATGGCACGTATCTACTGGGAATTGTAGTTTTAAAAGACGTTTTTCCAAAAATTAGAAGTTGCCAGTATTAAACTGTGTACAGCCCTGGAGGTTTAGGCGATAGGAAACACATTGGTGTGTACACATTTAAAACATGTAATTACTAAATGGGTGAAAATCGCTTGTATCCATAATGTGCAGCATTAATATATACCCACATGACAGCTCATTGTTACTTTGTAATTCTCCACTACAAATCAGAGGTTAACCTGGTATTTTTACTCCACTACATTTAGTTTAGTTACTTTGCAGATTCTGATTAATGATGTGAAATATAAACAACCCTTAAAGCAGACTTTAGTTACACCTGAGTGAAATTCAGGGAAGGTGATTGTCAAGTGCCAACAATCAGGAGAGATATTTGATAGTTGGTGCTTGAGAAGACTAAACATTTATCTGCAGATCTCTATAAAGTATATTCATTACTCGTTATTCTCTACTAATAGTTCATTAAAAACTGTATAATGGTTCTTTTGCACATCCCTTTCAAGATTTCAAGATTTTCTAAGGTGTATTGATCATATACACAACTTGGGTCGCAGGTTCCTCAACAGCGCATTACAAGACTCAAAAAGTACACAGTAAAAGTACTTGATTGTACTTTTGGTAGTAGTCCAAGTAGTACTGAATCCAACAGTACCAATTACATTAAGAACTTATTGCACAAAATCATTTTATCTCTCATCAAAGATGGCAGAAAACATGCATTATTGTACTCTGGAGGGGAGTTTGACAGAGTATTACTCAAATAGTACACAGTAAAAGTACTTGATTGTATTTGTGGTAGTAGTCTAACATGTACTGAGTCCAACAGTACCAATTACATTAAGAACTTATTGCACAAAATTATTTTATCTCTCATCAAAGATGGCCGAAAACATGCATTATTGTACTCTGGAGGGGAGTTTGACAGAGGATTACTCAAAAAGTACACAGTAAAAGTACTTGATTGTACTTGTGCTACTAGTCCAAGTAGTACTGAGTTCAACAGTATCAATTTCACTAAGAACTTATTTTTAAAAATTCTTTTTATCTCTCATCAAAGAGGGCAGAAAACATGCATTATTGTACTCTGGAGGGGAGTTTGACAGGGGATTACTCAAAAGTACACAGTAAAAGTACTTGATTGTACTTGTGCTACTAGTCCAAGTAGTACTGAGTTCAACAGTATCACTTTTATCAAGGATGCATCGATAAAAATCATTGTATCTCATCAAATATAGCAGAAGTTGCATGATTTTGTTCTCAGGAGGGGAATTTGAGAGTATTACCCAGAAAAAAGACAGTAAAAGTACTTCATTTTATTGTTGGTAGCAGTCAAACTAGGACTGAGTCAAACAGTGTTAGTTTTTTTAAGAACTCATGGTAAAAATAATTTGTATCGCATGAAGCAGAAAAAACATGCATTCTTTTACTCTTGCGTTGGTGCCGCTTCTCAGCGATTACCGTAAAGGCGCTATAAATCGCGCACTCAGAAATGAAGAACTGCTCATTTGACCAAGCAAATTTGAGAGACGGCTGAGTTGACCGCAGTCTTGTTTGCGTCTGTGAATTTTAAGTGAATTTAGAAACTAAAGTGCCGGGTCGATATCTAACAATCCTCCAACCTTGTTTTGTAAAATATTATTTGAAAGGTTGTGAGAATGCTTATTAAAAGATAAATAATTAATAATGAATGTATTATTTAATAATTATTCAAACCAATCCATTTTAAAAAGTACAAACATTATAGAGTAGAGCTTTAAGACCTCAATAACTGTTTAACATTGATAAATTTCGTGTGTAACATTAATATTTAATACATGATATAGGCCTATATATTTGACATACATAGATATATATATATTATATTATGGCTTGTGGTTTTGGCTGTGCAAAAGGAATGTGTAGTGGCTCTGACAATGTCTGACAAGTAACATGCATGCTCTCCTTAACCGGGTTGAAACTGTTTGGTATGGTTGATTTGACGGTTGCTATCAAGAAATGTAGAGAAATCCATCAGAAAGCAAAGTACATTTTCTTTCTTATGTCAAAATAAAGAAAAATCAATGTATTTTCTTTTTAAAAGAGAACAATTTATTGACATTTAAAAACCAGGCAGGCACATCGTCTGTCTGAGCAAACACATGCACAGACAACATGCCTACAATGACCATAAACAATATAGTCACAACAGAGGATCAATGGAGAGATGATGAAGTTTATCCACAAGGTAATACTTCCATGTATGAATTACATCACATTTAGAAACACCGTTTGTGTTACACAATAAACACCGAAAACTACTGTCGTTATTTTTGCTTCACAACCTTCCTCCTTACATCACAGATCACCCAGACGTTAGAAGCCTTTCTGTCATCTTATCAGTAAAAGCTTCAGTGTGTTGTGTAATGATCCATTTTCCAAAATAAAGTTAAGTCTTTCCCTCTATTTGTGAGATTTTCCATTTGGCGTTATTTCTATCAACACCATAATCATCATTTTCAATATATCACCTCTTTTTATAGCAATTACAATAAATAATGTTTATAGTGAAAGGCAGACTGTACAATGAACATAAAAATAGGACTTTCATTTGTAATACCGTATTTAGTTAAATATGTACAAAGCCAGGAAGATGGTGGTAAAGGTCAAGGTTAACTCCAGCACTGATATGATATATTCTGTACCACTTTTATAAACACAATGAGTAAGCAATGCTTTACTTGTGAGTAAAATGTTCTGCAAATATGATAACATTAGGTGAATCAGGAATTAAAACGTGTACTTAATGTATATAAAAAGAGGTCAAATTATTAAAGTGCTTACTTAAATACAAGTAAACATTGGTGTTTTTATGCTCCCCCAAAAAATAATTAAGCATTTTAATTACAAAATCATGAACTGACTGAAATGCTGCCACGGGTCTGAATATTTGTTCTGCTACATCTCTTAAGCCTTTAAAAAAAAGCACATCAGGTTTGACTATGCTGAGTCGCTCAATGCATCACAGGTGTGTTTAAACTTTAAGTTGGCACAGTTTAAAGCAGCATTGCAATAAAGGCTTTATTGTGATTTTCTTTCAAGAATGCAGCTGGGTGAGTACCTATGATTGTCTGAGCCTGCTTTTGACAATTGGCGAGTAAGAAAGGTTGGTCAATCTCATGCAAGTTCCTAAAATATGGCGGAGGCCGGAGCCCTCTCTTCTGCAGTGATTTGCTTTCGGTTGGCTCAGTATGGTGCAGTCTGCTGAGTCACTAGCAATCACACCCCCTCAATGTCAAGGGCAATCTTTTCTAAGCCGCAGCCAGAAAAAACATAAATAGTGAGATGAGGAATAATTTTACTTCACAGCAGGGAGTGTCACGTTCAGCCCTAGGTGGACATGTCAGGTGTTACATCACAATTTCAGACTTGCAGACACAAACGGGCACATTTTCACAAACATTTAAAATATCAACAATAACTCAGTCACAGCATTCTCTCTCTCTCATTTATCCACCTGGTTCCTATTCTGAAAGATCTTGGGAGTGCCGATTCATCGTCTCTACGAGCTCCTTGTTTCTTCTGTCATGGGGCCTTCAGTGAGAACATAATGTGAATCAATATCCACTCATATTCCATCCAGTGTTGTTTAACACTGATGCTCTTCAGGATTTGAGGCCCATCCGAGCCATTAGCTGTTCGTAGACAGTCCAAGCCATAGCGGCCATCAGTGTGCGTCGCAGAGACCTCGGGACGGCCCCGCGGAAAAACCCGGCCATGCCGTGCTCCTGAGAGAAAACAGAGCAGGACATTTCAGTATGTTATGGTCAAACTTCATCTTTCCTGCCAACAAGAATATGTGTGACTTTTCTCTAATTAACATTCACATGCAGTAAGATCAAAATTGACAGCGGTAATTAAATGAGCACACACCCTGTAGATGTAGCAGATAGCATTAGTGGTGCTCCAGTGGGACGGGCTGACTTGAATGTGTGTCTTCACCACGTCTGCCGGCTGTGTGGCCAGCGACGCCATGACGCCCGCCGCCATCCCACAGCTGAAGTTCACCAGCGGGGCATAGGCCGACGAACTCACCTCTGAGAGAAGGAAACACATATTTAACAAACAATAGAGCTCTGGACGTGTTGTTGTAATTAAAAAAATCAAAACAGCGGTCAACATGCTATCTGAATTTTCTGATTTCTTCAAATTAGGAACAAATGTTCATTGAAACATCATATAACACTTAATTGTACGTACAAGACTGTATATGCTAATTATGCTAATTATACACAAATGTCTAATATTATTAAATGAACATTTTTAAAGGACATGGATATAAAATGCAATTTGCAGATATAACGGGGTGGTTTCAACCCACGTTGTGTTGCTGACTACCTGGGAAAACACATTTTTGTCTAGGTTTAAGACATACAGTATAGGTACAGAAACCTTTGTAGGCCAAATATTGGAAAGCACTAAACCGTTCACTATACACTTGAATGATGTTCTGCAGTACAAGGACAGCACTCACTACCTGCAGCTAGAGAAAACCATGCTCTACATTTTAATGACCTCCATCTTGATTGGCTGATGCAGTGCTCTCACCTTCAGGCAGAGCCTTCTTGGCCTGGCTGTAGAACATGACGTAGATGCCGGAGAAGGGAGCGTCTCGGAGCAGCGTGGCAGTCAGGCCTGAGAACAGAGCCCTGACTCCCTCCGTCTCATACATACTCTTCAGAGCCCCTGCCACGCTCACATAGTTGTAACAGCCACTCTAAAACAACGTATGAACAAGGAAAATTAATATGGTTCATTATACCTTTGTTACAGTGTTAAAGAAGAGTGCTCTGTACTACAAATTATAGATGGTGGTCATTCATTTATGGATCCTAGTGTAAGGGTGATTTATTGGGTACAAGGTCTCACAGATACTTTCAAGATTCACTGTTCACAACATTTGTTATGTAAGGCTAAACAGTGGCATGTCAGCAAGAACTAAGCCCAACTCCACAAGACATAAGATAAAGGAAGTACAAGAGATTTAAGTTACTACTACTTTATTTTCAATTACTTTCAATTACAAAACTGTTTTAAATAACCCCTTCTGTTTTTACTGCAGAAAAAGTATTATTACTTTTTGCATCGTTTCAGACGTTTTTTAGAAAATCTAAAAAGATTCTCTCGTTCTTTGCTCATTGAAGTTTGTGTCCCCAGGTTTAGCCGGGATGAATACTGTATCTTGAAATAGTCACTATGAAACAGTTACTACATGCACATCACTACAAAATAAGACTCAACGAGCATATATCCCCACACAAATTAGCTTATATTCTTGTGGGGTTCATTAAATACTTCTCCTGGATTTATTGGTTTAAACATGTGTCTGATATTGAGGTCATAATGAGGTCTGTCTGTATGTAAAGAAACTGCCGCTCACCTCAAAGCGCGTCTTGATCACAGTGAAGGGCAGCATGCTGACGCCAGCCACGGTTCTGGCCCCCGCTCCCAGCAGAACTGCCTCTCCAGCGTTGGGCGAGCGCTCCAGGAAGTAGTGCTGCTTCAGGGAGTAGAAGGTGCTGAAGTAGATGCCCACGCCGGGAATGCAGCGCACAAATGACTGGAAGAGAGGAAAAAAATGAAGTCATAAGCATTTCTTATATTTGCTTAATGTGATGGTAGCTTTAGCTCAAAATAAAAATCCAACACCAGTGATAATCAGAACATGAATTCTTCTTCTTTTAAGGAAGAACCAATTTATTTTTGGCCTAATGTTGGTCTGGCGCTTAAAAACAACAGCATTTGAGACTGCAGATTTCTTAATAATAATGAAAAACTTCAGTTACTCACTGGTGAAACTCCTTTCCACAGACTGAAGAATTTCTCTGTCCTAATAACGTTGATGAAAACATTGAACATCCCCACCCTTGGTGCCCTGCAGGATGACATTTAAAAACATTTGAAGGTGTGAAAGAACATACATTCAGACGCAGACAAAATATTTGTTGTTGTGGTGTGAAAAATAAATCAGATATTAACAATTAAACAACCAATTAACAGATATTATCTTCTGAAAATGTGAACTAAGGCCTTCAACTGTGGAACGCTGTTTAAATAAAAAATCCACTTTGAGCCTTTTACATTTCTGATTCTTGTTTCCAGTGGAGCAATTGCAGAGTCCTAGCCTGACAGTTTGATTACACGCTGGTATGACTAATTGCCCTAAATGGGTCATACCAGCAGATTCAGCACAGCAATGATTGCAAATTGTGTCCCTCCCATGCTGTGTGTGTGTGTGCATGTGTGGGATTGTGTCCCTGAGGAGCATGTTGTGTGTGTGTGTGTGTGAGTAGGTCAGGAATAGCAAAAGAAAGATAAGACCTGGCGGGGACATGTACAGTCGTCCAATGACATGCAGACGAAGTATGTAGTGTGTGTTTGCATGTTGTCCACAAACATGGTGTGCGTGTTACATGCGTGTATAGTCTCACCCCGGCTTGGCAGTTTTCTGCAGGGTCTGCAGTCGTGTTTTGATCAGATCCAAAGGCTGGAAGAGTAGGGTAGAGCAGGTGCCGCTGAGAGAGCCACACATAAAGGCTTTGAGAGCTGGGTGGGCCTGAGGATGATGACAGACAGAGTTACAAAAGAGGGGTGATGGAAAGTGATAGAAGAGGACACAAGGGAGAGGAGTGACGGGTGAAAGAAATGCCAAAAAGTGGACCAGGAAAGAAGGGGAAGGGGGGTAACAATGAGGATTTACAGAGAAAGAGGATGAAGCAAAGAGAAACATAAAGGTTAAGTCACATTTCTTTCTTGGCATTGGTCACCTCTTGTTGAATGCCAGACTCATTACAGAAATAAGCCCCACATACACAATAATGAACGTTATCTAATATACATATAAAGGATTTACATTTGAATGTTAATATGCTAGTATGGCATTTCCATTCCAAAAAAATACAAGTTAGCACAGAGCATGGGTCATGTTCAAATGATGGAGATGTGCAGAGACAGTCCACACGCACACACACACACACACGCGCACACACACACGCACACAGGGGCTGTTGGGTCAAATTAAACTGAGACTAGACATTATCTGTGGTTACATGCCTCATGGACAAATATAAGATACAAACATGGACAGACACATTTGAAGGTAACAGTTAAACAGAAAAAACAAGTAAACGATGAAAACTAAATGCTTATAATAATGCAAGAAACACAATTACATCAACAAACAAAAACAAAAAACACACACCATAAATAGGCTGTCTGCTTTTGACACAACGTTCAATATGTTGAATGGAGATATAGTATATCTACACACATACACACACTCCTACCTTTATGCCGGGGGCTCGGCTCTGAGAATCCGGTTCCCCTTGCATTGTTCCCTCTGTCACCTCCCTCTCTCTGTGAAGCTGCTATTTCAAATAGCATATTGTAAAATAAGCATCCATCTCTATCCAAAACCTTCCTCCCCCCCAATTCTATCCCTCTCTCTTCTTCTCCGACCCACAATGGCTTTCTCCTGCTTTTGGCCCCCCCCCCCCCCCGTTTCACCGCCAAAGCAGGAGCTTAATCCAGCCTGCGTTTTTCTATGGGCTTCTATCTTTATCTTTCAGAGACACACCAACACATCTGTATCCCCCCCCTGTAAAGCTCACTGCTAAAGTGCATCTTTGTCAAACCGCATGAGTCATGAAGTGGCTCTCTGTGTGTGTGTGTGTGTGTGTGTGTGTGTGTGTGTGTGTGTGTGTGTGTGTGTGTGTGTGTGTGTGTGTGTATGTGTGTGTGTGTGTGTGTGCTGGATCAACAATTCAGCAAAATCAAGTGAATAAAACCCTGCATGATTCCATAATGCCCTGTGAATAAATAGGCTGGATTTTAATAAGCATTTTGTCATTATATTGAATTGTTCTTGTTTGTCAGGCACCTAATTCACAGGAGACACTTTAATCAAGTGACTTAATCCAACACATTTCTAAATTGATTATCTCTATTATTTACTGTGTAACCATTTTGATATATAGTAAATACATGTGGAATTTAATATCAGGATGTCAATATATTTACTACATATTGACATATTTATTGAAATAATAATAATAATTATTGACATACTGTACTTTTTTTCCAGTATTTCTCACATAGTAGTTTTAACTGTTGTGCCATAAAGCTGGACAGGTTGTTTCCTTTCAATCATTAATCAACACTTGCAGCTTGGTCCGGCAGTCAAATGGTTAAAGTCGATTTTTTTTTTTTACTGCCGATTACAATATTATTGTATGGTCCCAACAACACACATACGATAAGCATTACAATTGGAAGCATTTTCCTTTTTTATATATACTTATTTTGTTTTTTTACATCTGTTATTCTGAGTGTTCTACTCTATTGTAATACTACAGTATATATTACTATACTACATGGTAGTATATATACACGTAAAGTCAAACTTGTAAAATTGTAGGTCAACCTTTTGAGAGGGTTAATGAATCAACATGCCATAATAAAATATTTAAGCTGGCCGACAACATCCTCCTTGACACAAACCATGTCCTGAACAGTAAATATGAATTGTTAGATCAAATTGATGAGATTCCCACGATATTATAGTTAGACTGAAGCATGTTTTTGTGCACCAGTCAATTCTCAAATGTAGTTCATTCCTAAATCTTGGGCATGTTTCTCTTCAGTGATTGTAATGTTATGTTAAATGTATGTTTCCTTGTATCTTGACTTAAATAGTTGTCCTTGTTGATGTTGCAAATGGAGCTGGTGTGATGAAAGACATTCGATCTCAAAAGTAAGTACTATCGTATCGTATTTTAACTGTTTTTATTGTCTTGGATGAATACATAAATGCCAATAAAAAAGGTGGTAATTTACCCTCTTACTGACAGATTGAATAAGTACAGTGGCTGCATAATGACAATCATAACAAACTCACCGCTGCTAACTCCATCTTTGACCTGGAAGCTGGCTCCACTTCCTCCCTTGGTGCTGCCGTTTTGGAGCTAGTTAATTTCAGCCGACGATACTGAACGTTGGGAAAGTAAAGGGCAGCCATAGGTCACATTTCAAAAACAATGAAGTGGTTTCACAGGAGCTGTAGCAGCAAGCTAGTTTAGCTAATCAGCTGTATGCCGGGTGACATGAGCCTCTCGGGACAGGCTAACATTGACAGGCAGAATACTAGTCAGATATACAATTAGAGACGTGTTAGTATGAAATCCGAAAAGCTGCCAGTATGAGAGATAGTTTTGTTATGGGAAAAAAAACACATTCACTAGCTACCTAGCTTACTTAGCATGCTAGCTCTTCTTACCTGACTTTGAAGTGTGTTAAGGGATGATGGAAGTGATGGTCTCACCTGGCAGCTCCAGGAACCCCATGTTTAGTTTTTACTCTTGCTATCTGCATACGTTTCTGAATAGTCTTGTTTTAGTAAACCTTAAAATGGCCTAAAACACAACTTTCTGGCAAAGCTCGTCAGCTAGCTAACGTCAAAGCTAGCAGCTCACTCTAGTAACTTGTTTAACTTAAGTCTGGCTCTCTTCCTCAATAAAACGAAACCTGTTAATGACCTGACACGGGTCGAGCCTTAAAAGCTGTTTTAGTAAAAATACAGTTTTGTCCGCAGTTATAAATGTCCTACAGCAGAGACTGACTGATGTTATCGCTGCTTGCTGTGCTGCTGCGAGTGTTAGCTCATAGCTACAAAGTTCACCTCCAGTGGTCGACGCACGCGCGCACATGCGCGCGCACACACACGCGCGCGCACACACTACTAGTTAGAAAATAAGCCGATATGTGAACTATATAGTTAATGCACAGAGAAATATAGTATAGAAATATAATAATAGAAAGTGTTAATTTTGCGGTTAGGTTTTCCACGAGAAACCTCCATCATTTCCAGAGCCCTATACGGCGCTGATGATTTCCTTTCCTCCCTCCCTTGTGTCCCTTGCGCCATATCTTTTTTTTATGCAATGCCCTTCCTACCGTGGCCTCAGGGCGGCGCTGTTGTTCAATGTCAGTCCTCGAGAAGTCTTATTTTTCTTCGTAAAGTACTATTTAAATACAACAAACAGCATACCTGTGTAATTCCCACGTAACTTCTTAAAACAGAAATATCTTATCCTAACCCTATTGTTACGCATAGAGACATTTGGCCAATGATAATCTTTATCAATCGATTATGTATGGTGTAGGTTTCATAAACAAATTAATGGGTATGGAGTGCTGCAATTCAACTCGGGAAATTACTGAGTTCATTTGAATGTGCAACCTCAGAGAGACTATATATAGTTACGATTTACAGTTCACAGACCATTGTTGATAGGATGCTTGATGAGACTTGAAGACTTTGTGGTATTATTACTTCCAGCTATCCCTCATGGCAGCAGACTTATTAAAATGAATTATGAATGTGAGCCGTCTGTGTGTCTTTTAGTCAGTACGGGTTGTTCCCCATTTGGACAATCATTTGCTTTGAAAATAACTTTACAAACCAAAATAGGTTCTTCCTTACTAAAGAGACCTACCTCACAATATTGCTGTCCCTAATCACTTATAATAAGATTAGCTTCCGTCAGGGCTCTTCACACAGCTATTAGACAAGATGAATGATAATGTATACGTTTGAAAGTGTTGTTTTAAAACAGCTTAGAAAAACATAAAGCCCTATCCTTTCAGTCAACACCTTAAATTGATTTAACTCACAGAAGAGACAAGTTAAACACATTTGATGATTTATCAATTTATTGCATTTAAGGCGTTAGATAAAGAGATTAGCCTTAAAATATCGGCTTCAATATGAAATGTTATCCATTTGTTAATACAATGTAAGGGTATCGTACCCAATCTAAAATATGCATTATTAGCTGATGTGCTTATAGAAACCCCCTCTACTGTGCAAAGCATAGCTGAAAGAAAAACATAGTACAGTGAGTGCTACTACATGATGACCCACCACCACCAACAATGAATGAGACATAAAACCAGTGAAACATCAACCAAGTTAACTTCAATGATGGTACACAATTTGTGACAACATTGTCACCAACATTTCTGCATTTTGAATACACCACCTCTGAAGAACTGAACAATTTCCTTTTTTATGTCCGTTTAGTCCGTGTTGGCATTGTACAAAAGTGGTTGAGGTAATATCATAAAAAGATGACACAGTGAGAGGAAAAGCATACAGTGTAGATAAACTGACACTAGCAAATGTGAACTACACTGAGTAACTGCATCCAAACTCCCCAAAAGATCCATGTTGTGTGCAAAACAAGCATAAAATGTCCAGTGTTTTTTCCCAAAAATTGTTCAGTGACAGCACATAAACCTTTAGCACAAATAAAACTGCAATAGCTTGTTACAAGCGCAATATTTTATCAGAGTATACCCATTAAGTAGAAAAATAGACCAGGAAGGTATGTGTAAAGCCTTTTAAAAACACAAATAATTCACTGAGATGAATATGATTATTTGGCCAAATGAGTTATATGGAAAACAACATTAAGGCTACAAGATGAATGTCAAGGGGAATTCAAGGCTAAGTCCTCTCAGAAAAAGTCTTACTTTATGGCAATTTTTCACTATATCTGCATGTTGACTGGGTCATTATATTAACTCCCTCTCTGCTTTCTTCTGCTTACTCAGCAGCAGGCTCAACTACATCAGCCTTCAGGTCCACATCATCATCGCTGTCCAGCCCCGTGCGAATCATGGTACGCCGCATGTTGAAAGGAACTTCCCCACGTCTTTAAAAACAAAGAAATAATGGTTGAAAAACTTGCAGGTGCAGCACAAACATAGTACACAGGTGAAATGGATGAGGCATACAGTATTCATTAATATATTAAATAATGAAAAGGAGTGTGTAAGCAAATCTCAAAATTAGATAAATCGATAAAAAGGCAATTTTTGTTATAAATATGCAGTAGTACTAAAGAAAAACTGTAGAATAAACTTTTCAGAAACTTAATAAAAGCGTATTCTTCAACAGATTTTCCTGCCCAAAATATTATTTTAATCATGCAGAGTACGCAATGCAGGCCTTCCATTTGCAGTCTTAATAACCAAGCAGAGAAACCTGGGTTCCTTGACTTTTTAACTGGTGTTAAGTTAGTGGGGTTGGACACATTGAGGTAACTACCTGAGCTTGCTCTTCAGGCTGCTGACTTCACGGTTCACACAGTCTACTGACTCCGTGGCATCATCCAGCTCCCTCTGCAGCTTCCTACGGTAACCGTTGGCCCGCGTCACCTCCTCCTCTGCCTCCTCCAGCTGGCGCTTCAGCTGACGCATCCGGGTGTTCGTCTTGTCCGCCTGAAGAGAGAGGGTTCACTTAGTGTGGGGAGCAGCAACAGTGCCAAAAGCAGATCAGCAATTCCGGATCAAACTACACAAGACTTTTTAGCACTTACAGCGCTGTATAGTCAGGGTTAAAAGCACTTGTAAAAACAACAACACATTATAAAGCATTCTCAAGGACCCATAAGAGGTTAAGTATTGTAGTATTTCATAAAAGCTGATAACTGATCGAATTTCTTTTGCAAGGGTCATGGTGAATTATAATTCTCATACTTAACACATAACATTAGTTTTATAATTATTATATCATTTTATAAATCACATGCATTATAAACATACTTTAAGTTACTCTTAGTGGTCAATGCTTTAAGTAAAACATAAGTATGTTTTGTGTGTTCTCTTATATCAAAATACATCTATCTCCTACCTTTAATAGGCTGGAAATCAAAAGTAATAAGCAGAGTAGTGAAGAAGTTTACCTGCTCTTTGAATGTCTCCGTGTTGCGCCTCTCGTCTTCAACCTGCAGCATCGTCTCTTTCAGCTTCTTCTCCGTCCGCCTGACCAGCCTGGAGGCCTGCTGGCGCTCCCTGAAAGAATAAAAGCAAATGCAATGAGGGATCAGTACACGGTTAGGAGCTTTATTTATGAACTCACTATATCTGTCTGTACTGAATCAGGAATACACTGACACTGAACATTTGAGCATCTCCGGAGGAAATGTATTGTCAAAAATGTACAGCTATCATCAAGGAGGGTAAATAAGAAATCGAGCGGTCATGACACAAAGAAATACAAATTCTGGTTTTTCATTTTTGTCAGTCAAAGCATTTTCTAATGGCATTTCAAACTGTCTACACTCACTTTGACTCGATGTCCAGCTGTTCTTCCAGCTGACCCATCTTGGCCTCCAGAGTGGTGATGGAGGACTTATACTTGGACTTTATGGTTCCTTCGAGCTCCTGCAGCTTCAGTTTCAGCTCCTTGTTCTGGCGGTCGAGCTGGGAGCGAGCCCCCTCCAGCCGCTGGGAGCCGCTGCGCTCTGCACCCAGCTCTGTGGTCAGCTGCTCGGTCTGAGGGCAGAAACACCGTGAGAGGCTTCGTCAAACATCAGTCATCCCTAAGTGTCTTTTTAAAGGTCCCCTATTATACTGTTTTTCATCAATATATTATAGGTCCCAGATATATACAAAACATGTCTCTGAAGTGTTTGGCTCGAAACAACAAACAGATCATGCATTGTAGCATCCCATAAACCCCTCTGTTTCAGCCCCGTTTCAAAAGAGCTGATTCTGGGCCTGTTACTTTAGATGAAAATAAGGAGCCACTCCCCACGCCCCTCTGAGAGATATTTGGTTAAAAAAAAAAACACAAAGGTGCTCTAGGAGGAGATTCAGGTGATAAGATGGGGGGGGTACCTTGATTGGTGATTGGCTAACGGTTACACAAGCCAAAAAATCGTTATGACATCATAAAGTGGCAACAATCTGATCAGCTCATTTTCAGACAGGTTTTTATATAAATGGATCAGGACAAAAAGAGAGCGAGTCTTTTTTCATGAAACTTTCAGAATCTCTTTCCACAGAGGAAATGAAAAAAGTGGATTTTGCACAATAGGTGACCTTTAATGTTTCTTCATTTTGTTACTCAGGCAGTTTCTTTGCTGTTACCCATAGAGTCCACTCAACATGACTTAATCATCTTTCAACAAATTCTGTCCCCAAATAAAGATTTCTTGACATTTCATTAATAACACAATAACCGGCCTAATAACGTGAAACACATCCCGTCTCTTCTGCTGAACACTAAGTAGCAAAAAGTTAAGTTTGCAATGATCAACATATGTGAGATGCAGCGTGTCCGTACCTGCAGTGCGGATCTCTTCCAACGATCGTTGACCATCTCAGTGTTGAGCTGCTCCTCCTCCAGTTCCTCCTCTAGCTGCGTGATACGAGCCTCCAGCCTCCTCTTCTCGTCTGCCAGAAGAGAACTGCAAACAACGAGGGAGGAAGAGGAGCAACAGTTAGAGACAAACTTGTGGATTTCTTTTGATGCTGTGAAATGTGGATGCATATACTTTTATATACAACTACAACAACGTCTTTTGGTTCATACTTCTTTGTGTTGCTGCTGCTCATCTCTTCCTGGAGCTCGTCCCTCTCGGTCTGAATCTGTCTCTTGAGTCTCTCAGCAGTGGCAAGATCCTGGAGCATGCAGAAGACAGAAACATATCAAGTACTTCAAAGGCTGATACTGCAGAGGCTGTTGGGGCCATAACCAGGAGAAATTACAACAAAATGAAATGATATCTTAAAAAACCCCTGCTAAAACAAATGAATTCTATTGAGTGCCATCAACTGAACAGAGCCAGCCTTCCAATGTGCTTTTACATACCATTATCATGATGTAAGTATTATGTGTCACAAAGATTCC